GACAGCTGCGACCTCAAATGCACCGTGAGCCCTCGACTCATGGCCTCTAAAAGGCATGGGGTCCCCGTTCAGGGAAAATGGCCTTCCAGATCCTGCAGACACACCTCCAAATCGCAGTTGCTGAGCCAGTAACAGTTTACTTGCCGAGGACACCAAGGCAAGGGTGCAGGCTGCGGACCAGCAGGGTTGGCATCACCTGGGAGCGGGCAGAACTCTGAATCTCACACCCACCCAGACCTAGCGGATCAGGATCCACATTTTACCAGATGCCAAGTGACGCGTAAGCGCGTTGCCACTTGGGGCGCACAGCCCGGATTACCAGAGGCTCCTCCATGGGTGAGCAAGATCGTTCTCGCAGCAGAGGGATAGGTGGGAATCAGGTATAAGGAAGTAGAAAAAGGAGAAACAAAAAGAAGCTGTCTGACCTGCTGGCAAATTTTGAATTATGCCGAAGTATGTGAAGTCCATTCCTGAAGCCTCAGTGCGTGGGTGCCCAGCGTGCGAGCCGTCGGGGTCGCCGGCTCCGGACCGTGCGGGTTCAGGTGGCCTGGGGACAGATGCCGGAGCCGGCCCTCTGCCTCATGCCTGCGCGTGCGGGGGAGGCAGGGGCTGAGAGCTGGCAGTGTGCCCTTCACGAAGGGGAAAGTCTCGCCGGTTTTCCCATGCGGCACTCCCAAAGAGTTAACGTTAAGGGGTGATTACTGGCTACTTCTTATTCTCCTTTTGGTAAATCTGTTTATTTTCATCGTCATGCCTCTGTTCAAGGTCGATTCTGGCCTGAGCCGAGTGCCACGGCCAGCAGCATTCAGCAGCACCCGGCGGGAGAGGCAGAGGGCGCAGGACAACCCCACACACGGCCTGGAAATGGGCCGCGTCCCACGCGTAAGCCAGGGGAAGGAGCGCAGCCACCGCGGGAGACGGCCGGGCGCTGGGGGCGCGGGCGCTTCGCTCCAGGAGGACGGCGGCTCTTGGGAGGAGGTGAGAGTGGGTGTGGGTGGGCGGGTCGCCGTGCGAGGGAGGAGGGGGGTGGCCGTGCGAGGGAGGAGGGGGGTCGCCGTGCGAGGGAGGGAGGGCGTCGCCGTGCCAGGGAGGAGGGGGTCGCCGGGCGAGGGAGGTGGGGCGTCGCCGGTGCGAGAGGAGGTCGCCGTGCGAGGGAGGGGGGGCGCCGTGCGGAGGATGGAGGGGGTCGCTGTGCGAGGGAGGAGGCGTGGCCGTGCGAGGGAGAGGGCGTGGCCTGCGAGGGAGGAGGGGGGTCGCCGTGCGAGGGGAGGAGGTCGCCGTGCGAGGAGAGGGGGTCGCCGTGCGAGGGAGGAGGCGTGGGTGCGAGGAAGGGGCGTGGCCGTGCGAGGGAGGAGGGGGTGGCCTGTGCGAGGGAGGAGGGCTCGCGTGCGAGGAGGAGGTCGCCGTGGGAGAGAGTCGCCGTGCGAAGGAGGGGTGGCGTCGAGGGAGGAGGCGCGCCTGTGCGAGGAGAGTCGCCGTGGAGGAGGAGGTCCGTGCGAGGAGGAGGTGGCGTCGCGTGCCAGGAGGGAGGGGGTCGCCGTGCGAGGAGGATGGGGGTCGCGTGCCGAGGGAGGACGGGGGTCGCCGTGCCAGGGAGTGAGGGGGTCGCCGTGCGAGAGGAGTCGCGTGCGAGGGAGGAGGGGGGTCGCCGTGGGAGGGACGAGGGGCGTCGTGGTGGGAGGGACAGGGGGAGGCGTCGTCGTGCCTGGGAGGCAGTCCAGCCCGGGAGGCGCCCAGCCCCCGCCCTGCGGGCAGGGCAATTGGGGCCGCCCTTGCCTCTGCCCTGGAGGCCGCTGGAGCCAGAAACTGCGGCTACACAAAGGGGCAGCAGAGTTAGTGCCCGTCCCGGCAGCATCTTCTCTGTCAAAACCACCGTTCTCTCCTTTCTCTTAACAAATCTGCCAGTTTCTCACTCAATATCCAATCTCCCTTTTTCCTTGCTAACAGAACCCTGATTTTCCCCTGGGGGGCAAATGCCAAGTAAGAAGACGCAGTGTGCCCGCCTCCCCTGCCTGTGCGTGGGGCCCCTCGACGGCGAGCAGAGGTCTCCAGATGGGCTTTTATGCAAGCTCGTCAAGGGGGCTGGCCTTTTGCTCTTCCTGCTCCTTTCTGCCCCACAGGTGGGCGTCTGCTCGGACCTCGGGGCAAATTCCACGACACAGCCGCACACGAGAGCCAGTGAAGCCGACGGGCAGACCAGACGGCGTCGCGGGATCTCTGCCCAGAAGCCGCTAGCCTGAACTCCCCGCTCGCGGGCGCTGTGGGCTGAGTGCTGTTGTTAGGCCGCAGAAATGTACAGCCGTGTGGGGGAGAGACCACCGCCTAAAAAAAGACTCAAGAGTCCAGAGACTTGATGCAAAAGCAAGAGGAGGATTTATTTTCCAGCGCAGCGCAGGGGCAAACGAGCTAGGGAAGCTGCCGCCCCGGCCTTTTTTTCCTTAGGATTTTTATAGGCAGAAACCACACGCAGGTGGCTAGGGATCACAGGGTGGGGGGAGATTCCATGGGCTTTGACCTTGCACAAACATGTACCAGATGGGCTAATATCGGGAACTTTTAATCTTGGTCAATAAATTCCAAGGACTAACGGCAAGCGGTTTTCGGGGAGTTACAGAATGGCGCCGGCGCCAGCGGGGAGGGAATAGGGTTGAGCCAGCGGAGGGATGCCAGCGGGTGAAGGGAGTAGGGTTGAGCGATCGGAGGGATGCCAGCGGGGGAAGGGAGTAGGGTTGAGCGAGCGGAGGGATGCCAGCGGGGGAAGGGAGTAGGGTTGAGCGAGCGGAGTTTACAGAAGCAGAATGGCAGGTTAGATTTTTCTCCACACTGTACCCCCTGCGCTGCCTGCCTCGGGTGGCCGAGTAAATCTGTCTGCCCTGACAAGTGGCTTCCAAGTCTCAGCGCTTACCCGAATGGAAGTTTTCCATTCGCGCTGAGCCGAGCATAGAGGTGATGGGTGGCAGCAGCCCTCAGGCCGGAGCCTGTGCTCCTCGCTTGAGTCTCTGCTGAGCTAGGTGCCCTCCACCCCTCCAACCCCTTCACGGAGACTTTGCTGGCCCCTGGTCAGTCAGGTGCTGCCAAGGGTGCTGTGCAGTGCAGTCTGGTTACGTGCTCAGGAGGAAAGGACGTGAGTTTTGGTGAATACATCATAGTTTTCTAAACATTCCTGAAAATGAAAGAAGGAAAGAGCCAAAGAAAGGAGAGAAGCGGAGAGAGAGGAGGGGAATGGAGGGCAGGGGAATGGAGGGCAGGGGAATGGAGGGCAGGGGAATGGAGGGCAGGGCAGGGCAGGGCAGGGGAGGGCAGGGGAGGGCAGGGGAGGGCAGGGGAGGGCAGGGGAGAGCAGGGGAATGGAGGGCAGGGGAATGGAGGGCAGGGGAATGGCGGCGACTGTCGCGGAAGCTGGCTGGGTTCCCAGCCCTCTGGAGCCCCGACGGGCGGAGGCTGTTTGCTCGCAGGGTCACTGGCCCAGCAGTGAGGGAGGCGGACACTTGCGTCTGCACGCTCTGTTGTAGCTGCCTCTGAGGCTGGCCCTGGGCGAGAAGCTTCCCCTCCGAGCGTGGGTTCTGCCTCCCGATCTGTGGAGAAGCGGCAGCCTCTGCTCCGTGCATCTCCCGTCCCGCTGGAGGCGCCGGCGCAACGAGGCCCGTGCGCGGGGCGCAGTGGTCGGAGCGGCATTGCACCCACTGCTGCCTCCCTTCAGCTGGCCCTCGCTGTGCGTGGAGCAGCGTCAGGGTTTGTTACATAAGAGCTTTCTGGCCCAAACCTACGTTTCCAGCCCCATCTCCAGCCACGGCCTTTATGTACCCTGTATTTCTACTTCACGCCTAAACTTCGACTGTCCTCTAGCCCTGCCCGACCCTCTGGCCGAACAGGCCAGTTCTGCAACTGGACTCCTTTGTGCAAACCCTTCACGTCTAACGTGGGGTTTCTCAAACTCGGCAGTACTGTGGGCATTTGGGGCCGGGTAATTGTTCGTTGGGGGACTGTTTTCTGCCTTGTAGAATGTTTAGCAACTGACCTCTACTCATTCGAAGCCAGTGGAATTACCTTGCCCTCAGTCATAGCTACCAAAAATATGCCCAGACGTTGCCAAATGTCCCTGGGGAACAAATCAGCCCTTGACGAGAACTTCTGTTCCAATGTCGTGCACTCGCTTCTCTCCCTGGAAAACTCCTACACGTCCGTCAGCACCCACCCGTAACGTCAGTCCCACTGGATGCCTTCCCTGTCTTCTCCAGAAAGACTCAAGCATCATCGTCGTCCTCTTCTGCTGTCACGTGCCCCAGTGGCACTTCCCGCTAGCTTTTGCTGGCGCTCCTGCACCATGACCTGTCTGTCCCGGCACTGCCTCTGTCTTGGCCCTCTCCTCAGTCCCGCGTCTAGCACAGTGTCCGGCACAGAGCAGGTTAAAATAAAGTTAAATGGATAAATCGATGACTGCTGAGTAAATAAATGCCTTCTCCAAAGATGTATTGCTGTTTAAGACTAATTTGAGCAGTGGAACTCTTGTCGATTGAAATTAAAGCTAAAAATGAAAGTGCTGCTGAGTGCTTGGGTGGATTCACGGATCATGTAGCTGGTGAGGTGCGTTTCACCCACAGCATTTGGTTTCAAGAAGGCAATGGAAAGAAGCTCAGGATGGCAGAAAGGAGGGGTGGAGGGATAATCCTGTGGTCCAGAAAAGACACAGAGATCTGGAAGGAAATATGGAGAAGCTTGGACTGCACTGGGAAAAGAAAACAGAATTGCATCAAATGATGAAGCTCTGAAACAGGTGTTAGATGAGGTCCAAATGAGCCATGTAGGGCCGGCGCATTATAGGCGTTCAGAGAAGGGAGCCCCAGCTGGGCTGGGGCATCGGGAGAAGGCACCTGAGCAGAGTCCCTGCTGCCTCTTGGGCCACACATATTGCCATGACAACACCGCCTGCACGGGCTTCAGTCCAACCAAATTGGCCCATTCATGTTTCCCAGCATGCACTGTGCTGCCACCACAGGGCCTGTGCACACGCTGGTCCCCGCCCCACTGGCTTCTTCATGTCACTCGGATTCCTGCTCAGAGATCAGGCCCTTTGACCGCTAGATAGAGCACTATCCCTCCCAGTCACTCTCTACCTCTCACCTGGCTTTGCTTGTACTCACAGCGTCACATATGTACCTGCTTATTATCTGGCCTTAATTGAATGTGAGTTGCATGAGGACAGGGGTTTTTCCTGTTTCGTTCACTGCTGCATCTTCGGTGCCTGGCACACGGTAAGCGCTTGACTCATATTTGCTGAATGGATAAGTGGCTGCATGAATGGATGGCGTTTGTCTTGAGCCAGCCTTGAAATGTGGACAGAAGAGTGGACGCAGAGGTGGGCATGGAGCCAGCGAGTGAGCAGGGCGAGAGAGGAGGCAGACCCGAGCCCCTTCCGCGGCAGCCCTTCTCCTCCTGCGGTGTACGGGGACCAGGTCTCCTTCAAAAGCGGGCAGCAGGCAGAAGGGAGGGCAGAAGGATTTACATTTGGCCTGCTACTTCTGCAGAGGCAGACGTGTTAGAAAAGATAATTGCAAAATATCAAGTGCCGTGGAAACACTTATTAATACCAGGGGCTGGAGCTTCACTGGGCCCGAGGCTTGCTCCGGCTCCGGCTGACAGCCTGCAGTTCTGACGCTCATCCAAAGCACTTGGTTTCTTGGACCCGAAGTTACAATACTCAGCACACAATGATTTAGCGCCTTCTGTCAGAGCGTCTCAAAGCATGTCACCAGCAGTCACCCTGCCCACGTCCTTGGGAGGAGGTGGCACCAAGCAGCAGGTGCTTGGTCCACTTTGTTTTTGACTAATATGTTTCTGGAAGCTTGTGCCTCCTTTTCAGCTGCCCAGCTTCCCCTCAGAGATGCGTTTTCCTGTGCTTGGCGTGGCTCTGAGCTGTGGTCTTCACAGCAGGAATAAGAACTGCTTTCTGCCCCCAGGAGCAAAGCCTGCTCCCACCAGCCCTGCCTGGTGGCTCGCAGCCTGGCAGGGAAAGCAGGAGGTGCTGGGAGGCAGCTGGTCTGGACACTTTGGCCCCGTGTTGCCAACGGGAGAGGTCAGAGGGTGACCTGCCCCATGCAGTGACTCAGCGAGGGGCAGAGGGAAGAGAAGGGCCAGGGAGATGACTGGGGTTCTGTTAGCTCCTGTGGGGTGGACACTTCCAGGTGGGCTGTGTTTCTCTGAGCAGAACGGCAGGGGAGCCGGCAGGTGGGCAGACAGGGATAGGTGATGCCACAGGAAGCCAGAAATAGGAGCCACTCAGGACAGCTGTGAGTCACACAGACCTCTCATATTTTCCCCATGGGAGAAAGGAAGATAAGTTTGCATAGGCTCTGCGCTCAAAAAGCAGAAATCTCCAAATATCTTCACTGTTCCCCGTGGATGCTGATTTCTCTTAAAGCAACCCTGTGTTCTCTTGCTTTGATGGTTCAACAGCAAGCAAATCTGTTGCTTTTCATGAAAATATTTTAGAGTGCCAGCATGGGCACATCCTTCCTCTCTGACATCCATTCTAAGCACATATGGACCAATTCTCTAGTCATTACAGGGCTGGCCAGCTGCGTGGCCACAGGGCTTGGCAGAGGGCTCCAAAACTCCTCCCTGATTTGCTCTGGTCCCAGACTAGGTGGCATCGCCTACAGGGGCATTAATTAGTCTCTGCCCCTGGCCGTGTTGGGCATTCAGCCAGGATCAGAGGAGTTGGGAGGTGTGTGCAGTAGACAGGGAATGGGGTGCGGAGAACTGGGACCCCTTGCTGCCTGGGGCTGACTTAGGTGAGCAGCTGCTCTAGCCAGGAGCCTCTGGGCATGGTCACCGTGGGCCAGGGCCAGTGCTGGTGGGGAGGTGGGCACCGTTGTAACTCTTGTCATCATCTTGCTTTAAATTTCAGCGGCCAAAGGCAGGTGTGGAGGGAGGAGGGGCTGAGGCCTGACGACCCTGCAAAGCTCCCTAGGAGGGGAGGGCCGGTGGGCTGGGCTATCTGACTTGCCCAGGCCACCCCCATCTCTGTGCCTGCCCCACCCTCTTTGTCCCTAGGCCGCCCCTTTCAGCCTGACGACAGCTCCCCCATCCTACCTTCCTCCCTACCTGCTCCCAAGCCCATCTCCCATCATGCCTTTTGATGACTTCTCCTCAGTTGCTGTGAAGAAGTGCTCGTATCAGCAAACAGATGGTGGCTGAGGCATGTAGCATAAAATATATTTATCAAGGCAAACAGCTGTAGCCCATTTCATTCTGCAGATTTCTATTAAAAGTTCTCCGGAGCTACAAGCCGCTGGGAGATGGGAACCTGAGCGCAGCCCGCAGCCAGGAGCGGGGCTTTGTGCAGCTCCCCCCGCTCCTCTCTTCTGGTCTCTTGCATCCTCCCCTGCTGGCTCAGTCAAGCGCCACAGCCTCCCCACTCCTGGCAGCCTCCCTGCTCCTGCCTCCTTGGCAGTCTGGCTTCCCAGGTCTGCTATATGCAGCTGGCCAGGTGCTTGGGCAGTGGCTTCCCTGGGCTCCCATCCGTCCTGGCCTCCAAGGGAGCAGAGGAAAAGTCCACGGGTAGGGAACCAGGAAGGAGCCCTGCTCTCCTCACACACTCTCTGGCTGTGCTTCCTGATCTGTTTGGGTGGCCAGGATGCTGCTGGGGCTGCCACTCGTGTGGCTGGGAAGCACCTTGACCTGGGGATTGGAAGACCGTGAGCGATTCTGGACTCAACCACTCATTGTCTTTGGGCAATTTCATTTCATCTGTCTGGGCTTACTGTTTCCACTTAGAGGGGTGGGGCTGGATTAAAGGAGCACATTCAAGTGTCTGCAGGAGCTAGACAGGTAATACAGGTGTGAAATGGCCCAGTGTAGACAATGCCAGAGTGCCGTTCAGAAAGGCAGGTGTTCTCATTCCAAACACATGCACACTGCAAGTGTGCAGGGTACATTCGGTAATGGGCCTCTAGTTTGAGACGCACCAAGACGGAATGTTTGCTAACATTCCATCGAGCTCCCGTGCTTTGCAAAAAATTAATTAAGAGACATTTGGGGCAAGGCTGAGCTCTATAGATGGTGGACAGATACCAGCCAGTGCTCTATGAGAAACTACCACCTTTGGCAGTTTTTAGAGGGGCTATGGAATAAGTGACTGCAGACTCTGGGTGTTCTGCTGATCATTGTGGGACTATTCATTAACCTGAGAAATCATGTGGTTTAGTGAGGCAGAAATAGGGGCTCTGGTGCCAGACTGTCTGGCTTCAAAGCCAAACTCTGTTCTTTGATAGCTGTGTGACCTTTCGTAGGTTATTTAAATATGCCTCAGTTGTACCTTGGGTAGGTTATTTAACTCTACCTTGCTTATATCTCAGTTTCCCCAGCTACAAAATGGCAACAAAAGTAGAATTTATTTCATAGTGTTGTTGTGAGGATTGAATTGATCGATCTGAATTATTAATCTGGGATTATGCTTGGTGTAGAGTAAGTGCTCAATAAATGCTAATTGTTATTTATTGAGACGACCTTCGAGCTTTGCTATATTGGCACAAAATAGGACAGGCATGTAGTGACGGTCCCTGGAGCTGATATTTACAAATTACTGGCCACTGTGGCGAGTGAGGCTTATCTCTGCCACCACACATGTCACCCTGCGGCTTCTGCTTGCAGCCAAGACTGTGAACTGAAAGTTCCTCCCATAAATGACACACTTTTGTACATGCGTTATCTAGTTACATTCCACGGTGGGAAAGAGGCAAGTAGTTAGTGCCTTCCTTATTTGACAAAGACAGAACTACAAGTCCAAAGAGGTTCCAAAATTTAATCAAAATCACCCTGCTGGTGAGTGTTAGAGTCCGCATCTAGGGTCTAAGATGCCTAATTGCCTTGACGGTGATCATTCTACTTTACAGGACTACTTTCCTATGAGTTAGCTGGTTGCTTATGATTATGATTAATGAACATGCTATAGCCAAAATAGCTCCTTTGAGTTGCAGGGTTTTCTAAATTTACCCACAGCATCACTGTAGGTGCTTTATTTAGAACTCTGGGTTTGGTGCCCCAGTGCAAGCCCACAGAACCAGGATTTCCAAAGGTGAGACTCAGTAGTCTGCATGTTTACCAAGCACCCCAAGTAATGCTCGTGATCAGGAGCATTTGGGAAACTCTGAGCCGGAGAACTCTGTCCAGAAAACCTGCCAGTCAGCTTCGCCACTGGTCAGACACTGGAAGAGCTGCATGAGGAGCATTTGAGAAAGTCACGAGAGGGAGGGGCAGTGTGGCTAACTCAAAGGAATAGAAGAACAAACAAAGCAAAGTAACCAAGTTAATTTGCCAAATAGGTATCGAGTTCTGACTTGCAAGAGAGGTGCCTTTTTAGTAGTTTAAAACAACTAATGTGCTCACTTGCCTGCCCCACCTCCAAGGAAAGGTACTTACACCAGGTGAGGATGTTATCTCTTAATGTTTGTTAGATTGTGTCCATTTGAACATTACAATTAGCTTTAAGCTATGCTTTGGTAAATGAGTCTTTTGGGAACATCCACTGAATACAGGGTTTGGGGTATGGAGTAAAGACTACACCCAGCTTCACGGAGCCTTCAGTTTAGTAGGTGAGAAAGTAGTTGAAATATGTCATTGCAAGATGTAGTTTAGGTCAATTACGACCCCATACGATGAACACAGGAGCTGGCCAGCTCCCTCTTCAGTTACATGGCTTGTTGACACTGACACTGCCCAGGACAGGCAAAGGTCCCGTTGGGTCCCACACTCACCATCAGCCTACTGCTGGCACGTTCTCGCTGGCGCCTGTGAGCTCAGCTGAGCCGAGCTGCCATGCCGGCCCCTTATTCTCTGTCTCCACGCCTGGAAATTCTACCAACGTTTCAAGGCTCAAATTCGAACCCAGAGTAACAAAATGATTTTGATTCCTTTCAGTAAAACATGACCTGCCCATCCTCTGAAGCATCCAGTGGTTCCTCCCTTGTGGCCCCACGTTCCCTGGTTTGTTTTCTGTGTTCTTTCCCTATTGCCTCGCCAGACTTCAGACTCCCAGACAGCTAGAGCCAGCCTCGCCGGAGTCTCACCAGCAGATTCGCACAGGGCCCGCCCACGGCAGGCATCAGATAATCACATGGCTTCCACTGGCCTGTTTGCAGAGGTCACAGGTGTGACAAACCCAAAGCTCTGACCTTGAAACTGGTCTGTGTCGGCAGGGCGCGTTAGGCTGTGCCCAGTGGAAACTTAATTCACATCATCTTAAATAATAAAGGGGATTTCATGGCTCACATAACTGCAGAATCCGTAGAGTGGTTTTGCTAGGTTCAGGCACAGGTAGATCAGAGCTTATAAATGTTGCCAGGAATCTACCCGCCTCCATATCTTAGCTCTGCCTTGTTCCGCGTTGAGTCGATAGTAGGTGGGAGCAGAGATGTCCCTCGCATTGCTGGAAGTGCGTTCCACCTGTGCGGCCATCTGGGGACAGAGAGAGCCTCTGTCCTGTGGGTCCAGACGAAAGTGCACAGCCTGCCCTTCGCTGTGCTCTGACTGACTACTCCCGAACCCCAGGGTGGTGGCCCAGTAACCTCCACCCGAATCGTGGGAGTGGAGAGGCACAGAGGTAGACTCCTCCGCAGAGACGGGGAACGGACACGAAACAGGCAGAACCACATATATCTGACCAGGGCTGTTTTGCTCTCCACATGAAAATACTCAACAACCAATTACTTTCTTTAGCAGTGATATCATTTCTGATGCTAAATAGGTATTGTAAAAATTATGTCAATTAATCACTCAGGGCACTTTGTCTTCTCTATTGAATACATGCCTCAAATCCCAACCCATGCAAATTTGCTCTAAAGAAGTAATATGAAGTATGTACAGAGAGTCAAGGCTGTTAATTGCAGCAATACCTATGTAGAGACAGCAATAAAATTAGAAATAAAATAAATATAAAAAATGGAGAAATGGTTAAATACCTTACAGTTCAGTCATTATGGGTGATGTTTCTGGAATGTACTTGATACAGAAAAGTGCTCAGGATATTATGACACAATGTTCAACAAAACTGCCAAGATGCAAAAGTATTTATATGTTACCATTCCCAAATTTATGTGAATATACACAGTTTTAGTAAAGGCTGAAAGAAAATACTCTGAGGTGTTAAGAGTTCTCTGAATGATAAAATTGCCAATGAATTTTTTCTTCTTCTATACTTTTCTGATTCCCAAATTTTTGCCTAAGAACAGTATTATTTTGTGATTGGAAAAACATGTTTTATATTTTTAAGTGTGAGCTTCAGCATCAGTGCAACTGGAAACACATCCCACTGGGCTCACGGTGGCTGGAGCGGACGGCCTCCCTGGTGGCGGCCAGGACTCACCGCCGCCAGCCTGCCCCGCCCCGGCGAGCAGGCACCCCGCCTCTGCTCCTCCTGGCTGCCGGCTTCTGCTTCCGGGCGGATGCCCACCCTCCTATTCATTAAGGGAGGGGCGGGGCGAGGGAGAAAGAGGAGCGGGAGAGAAAGCCAAAACTGCCCCCACAGGACTGCAATAAAGGAGCATATGTATCAACTAAAAAATTCCTTGGCAACAAAAGCTTTTTAATTGAACACAGTCTCTTCAGCCAACTTATGTAAATTCTATCCCAATTTTGGGCATCTATTTTGAGCTCGGAGAGAAGCGGTATGAATATTGCCCTAAAATTGTGCTCAGCAGAAGGGGTGAGCCATATGGGTGCCACGGTGGAGAGCCGGTCACCTGCTGACCGGGATGAGAAAGCACAGGCTATACGCCCCTCCTGCTGTCTGAGGGGCCTGGCGGGTGGGGGCGCTCTGGCTGCCAGGTGCAGTGTGACAGCCTGGCACTTGCCCGGGACCTGCCCACCGGTGTCTGGGAAGTCCCAGGGTGGGTGAAGGGTAGGGACGCTGTTCTGCGGACGGGATGGAGCGCTTGCATCTACCCCAAAGGAGCTTCAGTGTGACTGTGGGCCCCTGTAGACCTACCAGCCGAGCACTGGTACAGGGCCCTTCCATCACTAGGCCAACCTGGAACAATTTGTCACCTGGAAGGTGGGACAGGGAAGAGAGTGATGTACTTATTCCATCCTACTGGAGAAGTGGAGGAAATGGGGAGAGAGCCCAGAGAGCACTGGCCTCTCTCCATGGCAGTACCGAGCACAGCCTGCCCTCCCTTGTGTCTTAGCAGAGGGAAGAGTTTGTCACGTGGCCGCAACCTTCTGCCGTGGGATCTACAGGAAGCTGGCTACAAGTCCGACAGCAAAATATGGGTATGAGGGACTGCAGGTCGCCTGGCTGTAGTCTATAGGTAGCTTCTAATAAATCTGGAGATTTTTCCGGAAATGCATTTTTCATAGATGAAATGACTGTTAAATATGATGCAAGACAAAATAATGTGGACACAGTTCACATTTGTTTTCCATATCTAACTTATTTCTCCCCAAAGTCGTTCAAATTCATAGACTAAAATCACCGGCCAGTTCAATTCCAGGTATTTATTTTTTCTCTCTCCTTGCTCCTTAAGTAGGTTTAAAAGCTTTTTTGGCTGATTGAGCACATAGGTGCTGAGCACTGTTGATGTGCTCGCTTTCAGTGCTTTGGGGTGCGGGCTGCGTGAAGACGGCGGTGCAACTGCCTGTTCCAAACATATGAGCTCTTGCAGGATAGGGCGCTGTGTCCCCAGTGCCTGCTAGAGGACTTGGCACAGCATTTGTAGTGACAAATATCATTAAATAAGAGACACACAATTTCCATCAGTCCTGCCCACTTTTGCTTGGTAAAGTAGAGCAAAAAGAGACCAGTGGGACTGTCTTTGGGAAATGTTGGGTTCAAGAGTTAAAGCAACAGCATAGGAATAAAAAGCTCTTTGTATAAAGCCAATTTAGAATGTGAAGCCACTTATTTGACCAATATTCCTTAGTTTTTTCTTTACAAAATGAGGATGATTGGCATATAGCAAGTGATTGGTTAACTCAGTCATTACAAATCTCCAGATTTATTAGAAGCTACCTATAGACGAAACATACCGGCATGCTGTCTGATCTTATTTTCCCTTTGCCTGGCTGAAGAGTATTTGTGTTTTATGAGTAATAATATTTTCTATCTAAATGACTCATTTGGTCCATAGAAAATATTGCCCGCCTTCCCTCCTTCTTTCCCGCCACTATAACCATTTATTGGACACTTGCTGTGTTCTGAGCACCATGGCAGTTATTTGGGATACAAAGGGGCACGCCTGACTTCAAGGACTTCACAGTCTAAAGAAGGAAGCCAATGGCCACATCGATAGTTGCACCAGATTGATAGCACGTGTAGGGACATCCGCAGAGCACCATGGGAATACAGAAGTGGGATATCTCTGTCAGATTATCAGCTCCTAGAAATAGTAAATGAGATTCTAAGATGGCTTGTAAGATTGTGTGTATGTGTTTGAGAGAGACAGAGGCAGAGAGAAATGAGGAGGGCAGTAATTTATACAACACATTCTTCGTGAAAGGTGTTGCTGACCAGAAAAGCCATTTGTGATACTTCCTACTTTCAAAGTTGTTTTGAGGAAAAATTGAGGAAATGTATGTGAAGCATAATGCCTGTCTCATACAAATTCTCAGAAATAGTAGTTATTCATGGTGGTCATATTAGCATTGATTCTTATACACATTTCAGTTTGATGAACATTTAAGAATACCTGTTAGAGGTTAGGTACTACATTAGGCCCTAAAGAAACATATGGTCTAGTAAAGGAGATGGATATGCAAATAGTTTATTAGACTGTAGGACATCATGTGCAAAGATAGAAATATGAAAAAGTGGAAAAGTAGTATAGAAAGGAGAATGTTTAAAATGGCTTGGATACTCTGAAAAGGGTTTTAAAGGATGAATAGGTGTTTGCTGCATGGACAAGGAGTGGTAGGGGAGGGCATGGTAGGTGCTAGAATTAATCAACATGATATATCCAGGGAATTGCCAGAGAAGAGATGAGAAAAGGGTAGTAGCAGTTATTGAAGATAGAAAGCCTGTCAGCGGTGGGACACATTTTTAACAAATTGGCCTGCAGCAAGGAGCCCCTGGGTGCATATTTCTATTATCAAACTCATCCAACTGTATTGTAAGTTATCTACATTGGTCTTCCCTAAAGGATAGTGAGCTCTTTGAATAATGAACTGTTTCTCTTTATTTTTTAACCCCCTAGTGCCTAGTGTATACTATGTACTCATTATTTGTTGAATAATGAATCGATTCAAGTAAATTCCCAAGAGGAATCCCAGACTTTCCTGGGGCTACATGTGCTTGGCGTTTCAGAGGATGGGCCCTCCCAGGGCTGCTTCCTGCAGGCTGCTGAGTGGCTGCCCTCTTGATCCCATGGAAAGGGGCCAAGGTGAGCTGTTTCAGCTATAGAAGGGTGACCAGACACTTACCATTAAGTCATCACCTACAATAAGGTTTTATGGGGTACCAAAATGGGGTGATTGAGAGCAGCCGTGGGATCATTGTCTGACTGTTATTTTTTTATAGACAAAGGACAATTTGCTGAAAGGGTTTTGTTGGAGATTAATTCTAATTGAAATGGCTCTGCTAGGAAATGAAATCTTGGGGCCTTGATGACAGATAGTTTTTCAGTAGATAAACATGAAGTTGAAATGAAGTAGGATACATTTTTAGTCTAAGAAACCAGCTCTGGCACCTGGTGCCTTGGAGAGCCCCAGGGGAGGCTGAGGGGCAGGTCCCCACCCGCCGCTCAGGCAGAGGCCAGTAGGAGCGGACCTTCCCCCTGCTGCCTCGGAAAGCGGAAAGTGGAGTGACTGCCCTTCAGAGGGCAGGTTTCCGTGCTCTGAGCAAGGCCCCCAAGAACGTCCTTGCATGCCATCCATAGAGCCTAAGCTCCCAAGGGCAGGGAGGAAGCAAGCCTTCCTGGCACTCGGTAGGAAGGCACCTAAGTAGTCATTGGATCGAAAGAATAAAAGTAACAACTGATATTTGTATACAGCCTACTATGGGCCAGACACAGGGCGTTTGCAGGCATTAATTCACTTAGTCTGCGCTACGACCTGGGAGGTAGGTACCACTGTGAACAGAGTGAGCACCACGGAGGGGCGGTCACAAAGCAGCCTGAGCACTGAGCCCAGCACAGTGACAGTGCCAGCGAGCGGGGGCATTATCTTGGGTGAATGAAGGGCAGCCTATGACGACCGTGACTGTGACCGTAAGTAGGGGGGTTATCTAATAGCTCTTGGTGATCTGGGCCAGTCAGGGAAAAGTTTATGACGACCACTTACGCAGCTGCAGCAAAAGCCAGCGAGTCTCAGGCTCCCTGTTGCATGATCACATCGATGGTAAACGCACTCCTTTCCTTGAAAGTGAAGCCCTCTTCAGAGCTGAGCTGTGGGGCTGAGTGTTCAGGAGTCTCTGGGGAGGGCAGGTCACCCTAGACAGTGAGTACAAACACAGCTGCTATCCCCAGTGGAAACTAGTCTCTTAGTAGCAATTGCTGGGCCTGCAGCCTAAGCAGCTCTTGCAGTGGGGCTGATGGGAGAGCAGCAGTTCTCCCAGCCCTTCCTCCTCGAGGATAAGCCCCTCACTGGACCTGAGGGGTGGGGATGGGCTGGCCGTGGAGCAGGTGCTGAGAGAAAGTGTAGGCCCTGATCCTGCACCTGCTTCCCTCTCCCCAGGAGACTGGCAGAGCTGACCTCGCCATCACACCCTCACCTTGCTGGACAGCAGCAATGTGCTCATAGCTCTCAACTATCCAAACACAAAGAGCGAAGCAGAGATGTGTGTTATATACCAGAGCGGGCAATTCAAGACCAATATTGGCTTTGGGATGCATTAGCCATTTTATTTCACATCTGTAGTACATAAGTGCAGAGATGGATAGGACCTTAGAAATAATTTATTCTAAAATCTTTATTCTACAAATGGGACAAAGGAAGGGTCAGGAAAGAACTGATCAGACGATTCTGTTTCGCTGGGTGGTAGCTGACTCCCAATCCATTGCTCATAAACTGCTTTTGTTTCCCAGATGTAAGCAAATATGCCTATAGCAACCAACAGACTTTTCTTGGACTCACTGCTCTAGGTGACCAAGGTGAAGAAGATCCCCTGAATCCTTCAGCCAGAAGAACCCAAAGGCCTATATTTTCCTGTGGAGGTCCCTTGGCCTTGGCTTTGCCATCCGAGTGGAGAGCAGCGGGGAGCGGTGTCTATGGTCTGCAGAGCCATCCATGGCACAAGTCAGTGGGGCTTTAGAGCCAGCTAAACTCAGAATTGCATTTCAGTCCTGCCACTTTCCTGCCTGTTGTGCAGCTTGGGCAAGTAAGTTTATTTTTCTGAGCTCAGTGTCTTCTTTGGAAAAAGTCAATGACATGCTGTGTCCCTGTTCTCTTTGTCCTGCCAACAACAGTCATGTACCAGGCACAAAACACTGAGTGTCTTCAGCCTTATGATTTTTAAAATGTGACAATTCCTATTATAATCTCCAGTTGACTACAGAGAAGAGCCTGAGTTTTCAGGAACTCAAACTTCAAAGCCAGGTCTTAGAGGCAGACTTGGTTTAGCCTTGATGCACTCCTGCCAGGCACAGAGAGTCTGAGCTGGGTGACAAGGCCTCTGTTGGGTGGCTCACGCTCTGGCCAGAGAAGCAGACACATCGACTACGGGCCGTAGCACAGTGCAGCAAGGCTCTGCAGGATTTGGGAAGGAGCCGTGTGCTCCGGAGTCGGAGATGCCTCTGCTGCCCTGAAGGGCGAGGAGCAAGTATCCAGCAGCAGAGGGTATGACGCTGCTATTACAGAAGGAAGACATTTACAAGACCAGTTCAGCACGGTTTGAAGACCTGCAAATATTTGTGTGTGACCAGAGTTGGAACCGGTGACCACAAAGTGCCACGTGTATCATGTGAGGGGGAATCTGGACCCTAGAGCACTGGGGACCCACAGAGAGTCTCAGTGGGAGTGACATCCTCAGCTCTGAGTTTTAGAAAGATTACCTGCCTCACAAGCTTTCTGCAGGAATGGTCACAGCTCAACCACAAAGCTGTTTCAGACTGTGGTTGGGCAAGAAGCCCACATAACCCTCAATGCAGCTAATGACCAGCTTGTCCGCACGCCCGCCCGGACGTGTTCGCCACAGCTGTCTTGCATCCCTTCCTGACCTCATCAGCCCCAAGCCCAGTGAAGTGCCACTGCGGAAGTCCCAGGCTGGAATGGGACAGAGCAGGAAGCTGGGAAACCACATGGGGACCCTTACATCTTCCCCTCCTGGCTGAGAGGAGCCTGCGCACGCCAGCGGGGCCAGGCGCCGCATCTGGGCTCTCCGTCCTGCCGTGCGTGGCCCCGCTGGGCCTGCTGGAGGCGCGTCTGCGAATCTGCTTAACTGAATTCTCATCTTTCAAAAATTATATTTCTGTGCTATTGCCTAGAGGCATTCAGGTAATGGGTGCATTTTTAATAAACCCAATAAGTAAATAGCTGTATTTGCTCCCCAGGAAACCCAGAGGGCCTAGAGCTAGAGCATAGCCTCGGAAACAGTCACACCAGAAACTGGCCTAGGAGGCGCTCACAGGCGGCCTCTGGGTGACTCCTCGTTCCCAGGGCAGGTGAGGCTCAGCTGTCACCGAACACAGCCATGAGTTGGCTTGGGGCGGCAGAGCTGGGCCACCCCACCGCGACACCTGTGGGCTGGCACACTGGCAGCTCCCCCTCTGCTGTTGACCGGGCAATAGAGCAGACTGTTGGCAGCTGGAGAACAGCGCCCGCGGGTCTGGCAAAGCTGTGGGCGCCCGCCTTCACGCTGCGCTCCCTGGTCGCAGGCACAGCAGCACGGGCCGAGGGTGCAGGCTTTCTTAACGTGCTCCATGGCGGCTCCTTACACTTCTGGAAACCTGCCCCTGGTTGCTCTCCTGCCCCCAGGTCTTGGCCTCCCAGACGCGACGCCATGCCCCCAAGCTGTGCTGCCCTCCCTGCGCCTCCCTGCCGTCCTCAGCCCCCCATTTCCGTCAGGCCGGCCTCTGCCTGGGACACTCCCTCTGCCGCTCCAGCCGCTCACAGTCCAGACCAAGTCTCACCTCTGCCTCCGCTGTAATAAGTCTGCCTTGTTCATATCTTGCATTTGGGACATGCCACCTTGTGCTTGTATTTAGCTCTTTGGGGGAGGGATGCTGTGGGGCGCGGTGTCAACGCCATTACAAGTTGGCGCCTGTTTCCAGCTTTGCCTAGAGCAGCTAACAAGTTCAGCGCATGCGCAATTGTCGGTTGCCCTGTGGCGCGAGAATGCAAACGAAGGGTCCTGCTATGGACTAATGGTTTGGTGGCTCGACAGCTGAGCGGCCTATCGCAGCTTAGGGGTTGTGCTTCTGGGGTATATAGCGGCCTGCGCACTGCCGGGCTGGGTCTTCCGCATCATGTAAGTCTAAAGGGAACCCCATTAAAGCACTGTCAGAAGAACTCCGGTTGCCGCGTCTTCCTTGCTGGCGAGGCGGGCGCGACAGGATGCTGACTGGCATCTTGCACGTAGCCAATGCCCTTCCTTGCCCATCTCATGGAGCTGATTGCCTGCAGCACCTGCACTTTGACCCCTGTCATGGGAGCAGCTGAGATATAAAGTAGCTTCTCCTCCTACTCTCACCAACAGCTTGTTGCCCTCTGCCACCCCACATACAAATTTTCTCTGCCAACTTCCCAGGAAATTCTGGTTATTAGCACTGCCAAACCCAGTGTGGACTCTGTGGCTTGGCCTAAAGTAGTCCAGCCTAGTCCCAAACCTATTTCAAATTGTGGCGAGCATTCAGCTTAAGTGCCATGACAGGTTGGTTGTTTTAGAGCTATGTCCTATGGTTATGTATTGTTCTTGCTGTATCCAGCCATGTTCTTCCTGAGAAAAAGAGAGGAGGTGTGCGCGGCCCTAATAAACAGCAAAGCTCTCATTAGAGAGAAACTCTGGGCCTGGCGCCTCATTAAACAGGTTGGATCCATTTTACAGATGTGCTCGCCAAGGCAGCCATGCTATAATGGCAATTCAGGACTACAGAAATCAAGAAACTCAGCTCCTGAATTAGCCAGGCCACTACCCCGACTTTCTGGACCCTGGACTTTCGCCACCCCTGTTTTGCTAATGGAAGTGGGTTAGTTCAAAGTCCTGAGAGCAACTCTTGAAAGTGAGGGTTGTCTGAGGTAAGGATTATAGATTTCAGTCTCAAATAAGCCCTAATGGAGCCCACCTTCTTGGTAAGACGTGGAGTAGCCCTTCTAGAACTCTCCATTAGAACCTCTGCAAATGCTGTCAGCATTGCTAAAGCAGATCTATGCAAATTTCTTTGGGGCCTTTTGCTTAATATTTGTCCTCCCTACCTCCTTCCACCTATGGCCTCTATTCCACTTTAACCACCTCCAGCAACTTCCCTCCGAACCCTTCACTTGGAGAACAGAAACCAGTGGAGGGAGGTTGCAGGGTCCCACCACCTGCAGAACCTCCTCAGGTGAATCCCGAAGAAAGCTCAGCGGCTGATGGGGAAGTGATTTATAACCCTAAACACAATTTCTTTCACTGTTGGCTCTGATCTCCTGCATCCCAAATCGCTTTGCATATTAGCGTTACTTTGATGAGATTCAGAACAGGTCACTGCCTATAGAACAGCTACCGCCGCCCACTGAAAGCTTCAAGCCAAGAAGACCCCAGGTGCGTGAACCCTCCTGATAAACTTCAGAGCAGGTAAAATCGTTATTGAAGAAAAATTGGCGTGTAAGTACATGCAAGATTCTAGTCATTGCTTCTAACCACAAAGAAGAGAGAGGTGGCAGTGGCCTATGGAATCTTCTTTTAAAATGTATGCAACAGAACAACAGAAAGGAAATTGGCATCATAAGGGAGTGGAATGACACAGCTTTAAGATGCCAAGAAATCCCATGTTTGCATTTTCCTGGAAAGGGAGGTCCTTACCTGGAGCTGGTGCCTGGGAGGCAGCAGCATGGAGGACAGGGTGAGAGGTCCTACTTCAGGAAGCACGGAGCAAGAGGCTGTGTCGGGGCAAACGAGCGCCCAGAGCAGCCCTGGGACGTCAGAGGTAGAGCCAGCCGGCTAGCACCAGACCCCAGGACCTCTCCCTTCTTCATTTTGAATCCTGAAGGGCAATTTCTAAGATTTCTTCCATTTCAAACAAAGTGACCTAAAAAATTTCACGGAAACAAGCTGAAGCTCAAAGCAGGACAAAACGTAAGGTGGTCCTGGTCTGACTTCCACATGTAATTTTGGTCCCTGGTTTTGGCCCTAAACCACCATCTACTGGGTACTTAGAATATGCCGGTGGCCAAGGGCATCACTTGATCTTCACCATGATCCTCTCTGACAGGTGAGCGATCACCCATCTCACGAAAGAGTACACTGATACACTGAGGATCCGGGCAATTGCTACCTGTCCCAAATCGTGCAGCCTGAGAGGCACAGCCAGGATTAGAACACCAGCTGCCAACCCTAAAAGGGCTTAACTCTCCATTTTTCTCAGAGTTACGTGTAGCTTATTTCAGGGCCATGGCAAAGCAAGAGAACAGGGCACAGGGTCTCCTGTACACCCCACTTCTTTCTCTGGCCTGTGTACAGACAGCAAAATGATGCCGCAAGGATGGAGGGAGATAAGTAGCTGTTCCCCTAGCACAACTTTATGAACCATAGTTTTTTCAAAATTTGACAGTGTTATTGAGGGGTCACTGGTAAACAGTAAAGGGCATGTGTGCAAACCAACGCCTGAAACATCAGTTGGTGGGGTCCTTCTGCAGACAGGGCAGGCAGGCCTCTCCCAGCACCGCCACTGTGGGTCCACGTCCAGTTGCTCAGCCTGCCTGAGCTGCCCTGGCCCAGGTTAGCAAAGGGGCTGGGCTGGGCAGCTCTGCAGGGCTGAAGCCCCACTGTGCAGACAGGCTCTGGGCTTCACTCTCTTCTGTGTGATTCCCGCTGCCCTCCTGTCTTCCTTTATGGGCTGTGGAATCTTAAAGGCGGGACTGCAGGGATATCTGGTCCAGGCCCTTCATTTTACGGATGAGGAAGTTAAGGGCCAGAAAGATAACGATAGCCATGATGGAGAACAGTGATGGCCTGGTTCTCCTGGCTGGCAGGTGCATCTGTTCATGGCAGTCCCCTCATAGGTCTGTACTGCAAAGCTTTGTTCTGGTTCTTTCTCTGGTGGTATGGATGGTCGGGGAAGGGGTCACTTCTCTGCCTGTGTAGGGCCCTCGCCCATCCTCCTGCCCCAGCCTGGCCTTTGCAGTGACGGAGCACAGGTGTCCTGGGAGAGTCCTTACCTAGCCAGGTATTGTGGGAACACGGGCGGACACAGCCCAAACAATCAGCCAGTATGTGCGTCCTAGCCTACCACGTGTGCCAGGAGTGGGCTGGCTGCCACGAGGGTGTCAGACACACGGCAGTGCAAGGCGTAAGGCAGACAGGGTCTCGGAGGCCTCATTGTGCATGAGCTGTGACAAGACATCCACGTGAAAGAAAGAAAACTGACGGTATGCCGGCGCAGAAATGACAAGCGCGTGGCACCCACAGCGACTTCCCTGACCACTTGGGGAAAGGGAGGCGGAGCCTCCTGTGGACGGGGGTCCTCAGGGCAACATCCAGGCCGGTGGGCTGAGGAAGTCTCCACAGGGACAGCAGCCTCATCTTCAGAAGGAAGGGCTGAGCCAACCTGGTCCGGCGCTCTGCGGTCCCACGCATGTGCAGCTGTCACTGGGGAAGCCAGGGTCAGCCTGGGCTCCACTTTGGACAGAGACTGTCCCCCTGCTCTGCCAAGGCCTCAGGGGGCGGGATGGCGTTGCGAGTTCCATCCTAATAATTGCACCTGCGCCAGGCGCCGGGGACTAGGGCTTTGGCACCTATCACCCCGGCTCTTCCCCATCACAAGCTCATAACCTCGGGGGACGGGTTGTCATTATCACACACTCGGGACATTAAGTTTAGATAGCCTGACTGGCAGAAGACAGAGCTGGCCTTGAATTTGTGTTTTCCGGGTCCTTGACTGAGATCACGCCGCCTCCCTGCCTCCCTTCTCTGCGCTGATTGCAGTCACACCTTCCATGCCATAAGACCGAGTGACACCTGAGTCGGGCCCTCAGGTGACAGTTTAGCTGGAGTGACAGACCTGGGCCAGAGGCAGGGATCACTTGAGGTGCCTCTGCCCTAGCACAAGTGGCTGCAAAGCCCACGTGAAATACAGGGTCGCCGGGGGAGCAATAGGGTTTTAATCAAGAAGCTGACGCAGATTTGCTTTCCCAATAATCCCCGTATTAATTAGTGTCATTTGCAAAAAGGGCCCCTTGCGCACGTGCTTCTGTTGGAGGCTCAGCCAGCAATCTTGGAGTCTGGGATGCAGCCTTGCTCCTGCGGCCGGGCAGCCTGCTGCAGGGAAAATGTAATTTGTTTCAAAACCTGGGGGAGGTCTCAAGGTCTCCCTGATGGAAGAAAAACAAAAAAAGATGGTCAGCAATGTTCCTCCTCCCTTGTGTAGGTGGCTCAGCGGCAGTAATTACATAGCTTAGCTGTGATTTGAAAATCCCCTTTCCCATGCACCCCCACTTCCTAGCGCTGTTCACCTTCCTTACAAATAAATACCGAGGGGCCCCTGTCACATCTTACTGTGCCTTCGACACTCTCAACTTCCAGTGTCTCCCCTGGAATATCCCCAGGCCCTTCTCCCATTTTGGAGACTTACAAAGAGCAACACCACAGAATTTTGGGGGCTGGGACCAGTTCAACAATAGCCACATGAAAATAACAATATTAACACTGTTTACTTACCAAGCGCAAGCCACAGGCCACGCTGTTCTAAGCACTTCACCAGCACTAACATATTTAGTCCTCGCAGAAACTCTGTTAGGTAATGTTATTGTTCCCATTTTGGAAATGAGGGAACTGAGTCACAGAGAAGTTAAGTAGTGCACCTATGGACACACCCACCAGGCGTGGTGACAAAGCAAGCCTGGGTCAGAGCCCACGTCTGACTCCAAAGCGCACATTCGCAACCGTTGAGCTGCACCGGCCCTGGGTGACTTGTCCCTTCTGAGGGTGTGTTGTCTCACCTGGCCCTACATCGTGCCCCTCTTGGCTCAGTCCCTCACCATCCTGGCGGGTGGCAGGGCCTGCCCCTTGGACCTCCTCCTATCTTGGCAGGAATCTGTTTTCAACCTTCCCCCTCCCTGGTTGCGTATCCAAACTCTTCAGCTCGGCAGCTCTCCCTG